AAATAATTATTTCTGTATACGAAAGACTTGATTCACGTTAAAATGTCGAAAAATATATTTAAAAACATAATATAAAATAAATTAAAAGTCACTCTTCGCAATGTTTCGAACCCAGGACCTCCGGGATTACATATAAAACTTGCCCACAGCGCTACCAACTGCGCCACGCATCACATACCTGCCCCGGAAATATTTAGCTTAAAACACTTCCTCCCAGTTTGTCAACAAAATTTATTTTGGCCCACTGTGGGCCCACAAACTGGTCTATAAAAAATCCCTGTGCTACAATTGTTTGATACATTAACCTCTAATATCGTGCCGATTTTGAAATTTATAGGTTAATATTATAGGGAGTTACGGGGTGTGATGTGTGCGTGCACCCTGATTCGACTTTAGTCCCTTTTATCAGCCATTATTCGCTCTTTAACAAAGAAAAATAATTCTTTTCTTATCTAGAACTCTTTATTCATTTAAAAATATTGAAAAAGTAGTTAAAAAAATAACATAAAGTAAAATAAATAAAAAAATTAAAATTATCCCAAATTTATCCGTTTATTAGCTATTATTCGCTATTTCCTAAAAAGAATAGTTATTTTTACATACAGAACACTTTATTGACGTTAAAATATCGAAAAATATATTTAAAAAATTTGAAAGTAAAAAATTTGAGGGAGATAAATTATGCATCTAAAGTAATCAGTCCCTCAGTGAACTGATCGTAGAGACACGGTCCCCAGCAGATCACCGAAGTCAAGCATCACTGGTTGCTGTCAGTAAGAGGGAGGGTGAATACTTGGATTAGTCTGGTGCGGTATTGGTCCTCGTTAAACTGTTCTACCGTAAAGTGCTCGTCTTCACGTGCAGGTCGTCGGGCTACCGAAGCGGAGATGAAAGGATCAAGGGACCTTTGCGGAGGATCAAAATTGTGATGGCATGTCTTCGGATTATCCTCAGAGATGTTTTCCAGACCGTCGCCAATAGCCCATTGTGCAGCTCTACCCAAGTAGCACAATTCACAAAAACGATATCGTAAAAACTTAGCTTTGAACATTGTACTATATCGTAGCGAAACATCGTACTATATAAAAATGGACCCCTTTTATAACGTATATTCAATATCGCGAAACAATATTGTTCGATATTGTAAAAGCGTTGGGGAACGTTGATCGATATCTCTCAGCATTTGCAAACACTGTACAATGTCGACCGACATCATCAACACGATAGTCAAAAAACGAATGCTGTAGAATGCCGATAATCGCCAAAATTACGTTACTTGAGAAAATAAAAATTAGTATTTGAAAATATTCCTGCCTGTTTAAAACCTAGAAAAAGCTGATAACAGAACCGTTCTAGCTTGTTTAAAATTAAATTATTTGTTATGGCCAAAACTTATAGAATTTTAAAGTCTACAGCTTAGTTATTAATATTTAATAAGTTTGGGTAGGCAGGTATATTTTACTACTATTCTAGAAAATAAGCTAGAAAGTAAATACACTGCTCAAAAGTGAAATTGCAACACCAAGAAATAATGCACGTAGCGTCGCTACGTGCATTATTTCTTGGTGTGGCAAATTTACTTTTGAGGAGTGTAGTTTTGTTAAGATATTTCTTCTCTTTTTCAGGGTACAAGCAGCCATTTATACTGTGAAATAATTTTAGATTTTAAGTGATTTGTGCAATAATTTTTACAGCATCTATATTTTACTATGTAGATAAAAATTACAATATGTTTAATCTAAAACGATAATTTTTTTGCTGTGACGTTTTAGTATTATATAATCTGTATTTTGCTAAAATAGTATGTATGGAAAACAAAATTCCTTCTCTTCACAGCATTAGGTTCGATTTTAAGAAAACTGATTAAAAAGGAAAAAAAAGCAATATTTACACTGATATTGTCTTAATAAAATAACCGGAGTCACTTTCTCAGATTTCTGATTTAAAAAAAGGGTAAACATGGTAGAATAAGCTGCGATTTAATTTACTTATGGCCTTTGTCCATTAAAGTGTTGAACGGTTGTCAAATGTGTAAATGAAATATGATTTTTATTGAACAATAAAGAATAATATGCTAATTTCTATAATTTATTGTACTCTTTAATACAATCAATTGTTTCTAAAACAAAACTGTGTCAGTTGAGGTGAACTTAGTCTTCCTGCCTGCCTGCCTCCCCGGTCGTTGGCGGTGGCAAGAGCTTCACCATATTTTTCAGCTTTTTCTAGTCAGCTAGTTTCTTTAAACAGTCTGAAGGTAGCAGCTGAAAAAAAAAAGACATGAACTGTGGTTAATTTTAATATTTTTAAATTAAAAGACAAATAGCTATATTGAAAACATTACATGAACTAAAGTAGACATAAGCATAACGCAAGTGCTACTAACAGCGTTTTTATATGGGGCCCCTTTATGAGTAAGTTTATAACGTATAGAAAATATTATATTTTGTAATATAATAGATGGAAAAAAGTGTTTTTCTTTGAATAATTTTTAAAAATTATTTGGTCGCCTTTTGATGATGTGATCCGGGATAGTCAATACAAATTCCACATCTAATATGCGCTTACCACAGTGCTGATTCAGATATAGTGAAGTATTTAGTAAAGGTACCGCTAAGTGGTAATAAATTTGGCTTGGACACAGACCCCTGTTCTTTAACTATTAAAACAAAGTTTCAATTAGCAAACCATAATTTTAATTAAGAAGTGAGATTTTTTTTCTCTTGATTTTTAATATGACAAAATAAATGCAACAGATTGTGTTTATAAATATAGTCATTCATTAATAAATAAATAAATATTTAATCTATATATTTTTATATTAAAATATTCATTTTTAATTATATATCAAAATAGATAAGTTGAGCTGAAAATTTTTTTTAAAAAATCTATGTACTCATTGGAATTTTCTTTCACAAAATTTCTTTATAGAAAATCTGATAATGTCAAAGATACTATAAACATATTACGAGAAAAAAATACCAGTAACCAGTTAATAACTCTACTGCTTCAAATAGACTTTGAAAGGGAAGACATTATATCAGGAAAAAAACATCTGAATTCACCAGCCCCCTTTTTTTCCCTTCTATTTCTGACATATTAGGGTACTTTCTTTCTAATATAACCTCAAACTTTAGAAATATACATTTTCCACTAATAAAATATAATGAAGATTTTAATTCCATGCTTTTTCAATCAAAAGGTAGAATTTGAATTAACATTATTTGTATTTTTTTTTTTGAAAAAGTTCCTGTTTATTAATTATTTTCTACAGCTATGCAAGTCTATATTAAGACAGCATTAAATGTGCACTCCAATCTGTACATATTTAATGTCATCAATCAATCTCAAGAATCAAAAATATTTTTAAAAATGTAATTTCAAAAGTGTTGGAATTTAACACACACCAAGAAAGTAAGTAATTTCAATAACTAAAATTAATTAATGCAGCAATTTATTTAAATTAAAATTTAAAACTAAGAAAAGAAAATAATAAAACTATCAATAATTTAAAACACTGTTTTTTAACTTTCAAAATCAATGATTTTTTTAAAAGAAAAATCATTTGATTTAATTCATGTATTAAATCAGGATTTAAATCAAGCTGATTTAAATCAACAAACCCTCATAGCTAGTAGTTGAGAAAACACGCCATGAAAAACATTACAAAACTTTACGATTGGCTAACTTTTGAACTTTGATCCATACTTTTGATTTAACTTTGAAACATACAATGCTGGAAAAGTATTAGAGTTTAGAATACAAACTAAGCAAAATAAAACAGGAAGGACCAGGGTAATTAATTTAAGGAATAACTGATCCATTTTAGTGCAAGATAATGACTAATGAAAAAGTTATTACAAATTTTGAAATTCTATATCTATAAAATTACCCAAGATGGCGTTTGTAACCGCTGAGAGGCTTTCAAAACACTGAGTGAGCCCTTTGGCTAACACCAGGGCTAACACAGTGTTAGTAAATGCTGAGAGATATCGATCGACGTTCCCCAACGTTTTTACAATATCGAACAATATTGTTTCGCGATATTGAATATGCGTTATAAAAGGGGTCCATTTTTATGTAGTACAATGTTTCGCTACGATATTGTACAATGTTCAAAGCTAAGTTTTTACGATATCGTTTTTGTGAATTGTGCTACTTGGGTAGAGCTGCACAATGGGCTATTGGCGACGGTCTGGAAAACATCTCTGAGGATAATCTGAAGACATGCCATCACAATTTCGATCCTCTGCAAAGGTCCCTTGATCCTTTCACCTCCGCTTCGATAGCCCGACGACCTGCACGTGAAGTCGAGCACTTTGCGGTAGAACAGTTTAACGAGGACCAATACCACACAACCTCGGTCACAACGCAGACTAATCCAAGTGTTCACCCTCCCTCTTACTGACCGCAGCCAGTGATGATTTACTACGGTGATCTGCTGGGGACCTTGTTTCCACGATCAGTTCACTGCGAGACTGATTACTTTAGATGCATACTGAATGGTGTTTTCAGTAGAAATGTAAACAATAACAATCTCGAGCTGTATGCCAGTACCAGTTCCGGTTAGAAAGTTTGCAGCTGCCTACTACATGTTACTCTGCGAGGCGATATTTTCAAACGGACAATTTTGTTTTCTATAAAAGAAATAAATTAGATAATTTCTGAGCTCAAATCTGCCGTGTTTGTTCTTGTTGCAAGCTGTGCATCATCTTACGTTAGTGTTAACACTTTTAGCATTGTAAACACAAGTATTGTTAGCATTGTAAACACAAGTAATAAGTAATCATTGTTTACAATAATACATTGTTTGCAAGAATCTCAAAACACAATGATGCCAAAGGTTTTAAAATACAACGTAAACAGTAATTTAACCCGGAAATTTAGGACGTCCTATCCCTCTACAAATTCTTGAAAGCCACAAGGCCTCATCTTTATGCTATCTATCAAGCCTCAATACTAATCTACGTTAATGAAAACAGAAAGCTATAAGCTAAAGAAAAGATCTCATCACACTCTTCGACCATACGTATCCCATTGCCCAAACAACTTATTGCGGCATGTTTGTTTGTATAATATTGCTTAATTACTAACATTAAACACAAATATTCTGTTACAATGTCAGAGTTAGACCCAGATTCATTAAATAAATTGAAAGTAGTAGATTTGCGGGAACATTTATCCCAGCGTGGATTACCAACTGCTGGTCTTAAAGCTGAGCTAGTGAAGCGATTGCGAACGGCACTTTTAGATGAAGAAAACAACAGTAGTAAGTTAAATAAAAGTTACATTTTTACCGTTTTGAATTATTAGTTTGTGTTATAACGTATACTAATTAACTTATAACTTGTAATGAAACTTCAATCATCGATGTTAAGGCACCTTGTCCACTGAAGAATTATTCATTAGTTCTTTGGTTCTATTGGTTGGTATTGGTACTTTTAAAAAGGAGAAATGTTTTGCTTTACTGATTAGTTTGTGTTTAAAACACAGCTTACTTAAGAAATCTCTTAATTCCGTCAACTCGATGAGGACTCGATTGACTTAAAAAAATCCGTGCAACGTTTTGTCAAAATATAACCTTTAAGAAAAGAAAAAAAAATCGAGCACTTATTAGGAAAATAGTTAAATCTTTTCAGAGATATTTCCGAATCGTGATCTGCCGCGCCAACTACGATCGCCAAAGCGCCAAATTAATTTTAAACTGGAAAATGTGAAAATGAGTTATAACCCTTCAAGTTGGTCCCTTTCTGTGATGTTTTGCTTAGTTTCTCGCAGGCCGCTGCCCTGAAGTTGCCAAGACTTGGCGATTAGTATGGAGAGGATACAGAAATCTTCCCAATTTTTATTTTAAATAATAATGATCTGACCATTCTAAAGTTCAATTTATTGAATCTTAAGTTAAAGACTTTAGAAGAGACAAACCCGTTCAGACATCAAAAACTAAAGAGCATGTTTGATTAATTTGCTGGAATATAATGTGCTATCAGCTCTTTACTCACTTTTATATTTTTTGTTTTGTTTTGTTATCCTTGGTGTAATCATTATGCTGTAGAAAAATGTTTTTTATTTTATTTTAAATTACAATATTTCCATCTGAGGATCATAAAATCTATATCAATCCTATTTGTTGATATTTTAAACAAGGTAACAAATGAATGAATGAACAAGATATGATTAATGCAATAAGGTTAATAAAGAAAACCGTTAGTTTAATTAAAATGATAGTTATGCTTCAAGTATTCTTGAATTAATTTTTATTATAGGTGATATTTTTAATGAGCATAATCTTTTACAACACAAATATATAAGAATAAACATATAAATCTTTTTATTATTATTATGCTTAAGCAGTTAAAAATTTTATACATTCTTTCAAACCAGTTGTTGCAGTTTCAAAAGACATTGTTATTTGTATTTAATTGTCATTTTGTTAAAAATGAAAAATTTGATGACTGCTGTAAAGCAACATAAATATTTTTCCTTCATTCATCCCACTACTCAATAAAATGTCTTTCAATGATTCAACCAAAAACAAATTCACTTTTATTTATTGCTGACTTGTTCACCTTCGCATTCACTAATAAATTCATTGGTACCCTTTCTTTTTTTTTCTTTCTTACTTTATTCTCTCATTAAATCTTTCATTCATCTGACACTGAAATATCTTTCAGTGATTTGTCCGTAAACAAGTTCACTGTTATTTTTTGCTGACTTGTATTGATTCACCGATGTATTCACTGATAAATTTAATGGTTTCTTTTCTTTCCTCATTCTTTATTCTCTCGCTGTATCTAAACTTGTTCATGATAACAGCTTTCATGATGAAGCAACAATTGTTTATTAAATATATTTTAAAAATAAATTAAAAATGTCGTATAAAACATATTATTAAAAGAATGGACAGACGTTAGTATTAAGATATTACATGATTATTCCTATCAATCAACTTTTGGGAAAGATTAGATATCTTCTCTACTCAGATTAATATTGACAGGGGTCTAAGTTTTTCTGACAGGTACCTATTTTGTTAAAATTTGGACATAATTTCTGAAAATTGAAAAATCAACGAAAAAATATAGATTTATCGTTTCTTACAGGATACAAAAATGAAATTTTAAGAAAAAGTACTTTGTGAAACTACCATTTTTCCCAAAGTTAAATTTGTGAAGGTACCGCTAAATGATAGTAAATTTGGCCTGGACAGACCCCTGATTTATATCCAAAACTCTAGATAAAATTTTACATGCCGTGCTAAATACAACAATAATAAACGTTTAGACAAATAAAGAAGTTGTCAAGCCTGCTTATTAGCAAATATTTTTAGAGGGAAAAAAGTCATACTTTAGTTTCCCAGAAAATTCTTTTAATAATTATTTTAAATATATTTCAAAGAAAAAAAGTATGACAAATATTGTAAATATTTATATATGTTTTTTGACATTATCCAGGGGTCTGTGTAGAAGAAATTTAGGTCCGTTAACGGACCCTGCACAAAATATCTTTTCATAAAAATGGACCCTTCACAAAATAATTTATCTTTTAATCAGACCCTTCACAAATTTGTTTATCTTCATTATTGTTTTGTTAATTGAATAAACACTTCCCAGGGAGGGGGAGAAAGACGGTTCCAGACAAACTAAGTTTCCCTAAGTTCCAAATGTAGTATTCTGGGAAAATATTTATACTTTTATAAACATTGTGTGCACATTCTTATCAATATTAAATCATAATATTTTTTTGTAAATAAATAATTGATCAATTTGTATTTATTCATAAAATTATTTAATAAAATATTATTGAAATAAAAATTTCTGACAATTTTTTTAAATAAAATACTTTAAATTTAAGAATTCTTTAAGTTTACTTAATGCATAATGCATTAAAAGTGATGCATAACTAGTAGTAAGTTGTGTTATTTAAAATATGTCAATTGAAAATATTAATGAGTGATTTCCATTATTTGTCGAAAATGAATATTCTGCATTGAGCAGTATAGGCTAAATGCCAAATATTTGTATGTTGCATCTCTAATTTAGTAGCAGCAATTGTTGAGCAGAATCTTGTATATATTAACAATTTAAAAACTTGAAAAGGTTCTTAGCAATTTTTGCAATAACAGGATCCTATTTGCACAAATTCACAAAAGCAAAACCCTGGTTGAAAGAATGTGGCTTAATGCTTATTTTATATTCACAAATAATGAATAGTTTTTTCACAATTTTTCAAAAACAGGACCTTTTATGAAATGTCTGGACAGACCCCTGTTATCTAAAAATTCACTAAGATCTTGATAATTATCTTAAAAAATGAACCTTTTGGTCTTGTTTATGGATAGTCCCAATTTCTTTAAAAAAAATTAATAAAATCCACCATGAATTGACAAAAAACTTAAGTTTAAATTCTATTTTGAGACAATAAGGAGTATTTTCTACATAAATATTCAGATTTGTATAGGCGAATTCACATTATATTAAGAGTACATTTGACACCCAGGTTCAATGGATACAAAATTTGAGCTCATTTTCTAAGATAACTATTTTATTAGGTAGCACCCTGAGCCATAAATCTCTTTAGAAAATCCCCGAGAAAGACTCATTCTATTCAATGTCAAACAAGTGGTTTTTCTGCTGCACTCACTTCCGTCTTTAGTAATACTTTTACTTAGAGAACTTTAACCGTAAAAAAAAATTAACCTAAGAATGTAAAATAATCTGTATGTATTTTTTTAAGCAAACAATTCTTTAAAAAAGAAATAAAGAAATTTACAGAACATTAAATCTGGGCCTCGTTTGGGGTTTGCATTATCTGGTGCTCTGTGCACACCCTTTTTGCCAGCCCTGTATGTTGTTATTTTTTATGATTGTCAGGGAGCTTAAATTAGTGACACTATTTGTAACCACTTAATTTATTTTAGACTGTAATAAACAGTCCCCATATCATTATTTCTTAAAAGGAAGTATACTTCTTTCCCCTTGATTTGTCTCGCTGGTGTAGTCACAATGGTATAGAAAATTGCTTTTTATTTTTCAAATTACAATATTTCTACCAGAAAATTATAAAATCTATATCAACCCTAAATGTTGGTTTAAGAAACATCATGTGAACAAGATAAATAACATCTCATTCAAAGTTGAAAAAGAAAGTCGTTAGTTTAATTTAGGGATTCACAACCTGTTTGAGTGAAGGGCCACTTGCACAGCAGGTTGACTAACGAAGGGCCGCACGTGTATTTAGACATGTTAACGGCAAATGTAGTAATATTTATTTAAACATTCGTGTTCTAATTTTTTTATTAATAAATTTAGTATTTGTAGAATAATATATTTGTAGAAAATTAGGCGTTCAATTATTGAAATTCATTCGAAAATAAAGAACTAATACTTTAAAAAAAAAATTTCCATTTTCATCATATCAACAATAGATTTATCAAACATTAGAGAAAAGAAATGTTTCTTTATATCACATAATACAAAAATTCATTTTAAAAATATTTTACTAAGAAAAAACAAACAAACTGCAATGCTGTAATGAAAGTAGACAAACTTTAGTACAAAATTAAGTAATATTTATTCAAATTAAATATGTTAATTGAAGAAAATTTATGAGTTTTAAACAAAAGCCTAAAATAAAAACAAGACTGTAATATAATTCATTAGGAATGTGAAGAGTATTTGGCTCTTTTGTCAAAAATTCAGTTGGTTGAATGATCGGCCAAATATTCGGCTAAATATTTTTTAGAAGTGTATTTTTCTAAGTTTTTTGTTTTTAAATTTGTATATATATGATAAAGAATAATGTAAAATCGTATTTTAACTACTTTATAGTATTGCTTATTTTAAGATATAGTTTTTACACAAATTTCTTAAATTTTAAAATCCATGTTTTTGTATTTGGCTTGCAAATTTATCTTCTATAGGACAAAACAAATTTTGGGGAATTGATCTGCTTTTTTTAAATATATATATATATACACATACAGTCTATATACTGTAGAGCGCCGATTATCCAAACTATGTCCGAATTCCTTTTTTTTATCGACAATTTTTCTAAATTTAGAAGAATAAATAATCCATATTTAATTTACATCCTTTTTTTAGCAGTTTTCTTATAGTAGCGATACACGCATGTATTGTTATACAGTTGAACCTACTTACCCCTTTAGCCCTCTTCAACTAAAAATTATCTTCCAAGAATGCGGTTACAGTCTACAATGGTTGTATATGCAATATTCTACAATGGACAGTAAGATAACAGTCTACAATGGTT